TAGTCTGCCACATCATTCATGAACTGCGTCGTTTCGTTCCGCCTTTGACGAGAAAAGGGTATTGAAGAGTGCTCCTCTTTCCAACCACTCCCTATACCCAACCCCTGCACCGATCGCGACGGGCGGCAACCTAGCCATCACCGTCTCCTGCGGTACCGACCCTTCTATCGGCAGAGACTGGTGCGCGCGCGGCCGCGCCGGCGGAAAAGCGCTCAACGATAACACTGACTGTGAAAAAAAAAGACCCGCCTGTGTCCGCCTCGGCAGTGTCATAACGGGCGCGCTGCCGTAGCCCGCGGGCAGCGAGTGAACCACGCATCTCGAAACCGCCGGCCCGCGGCGGGGCTAGGATGTGTGTTGGCGACGGAACGGGGATTCTTAGACGCCCTCATTTGTTGTTTGGCGGAGATATTCAGTTCGTATTAGGTTCGATTCCCAATAGCGCTGGTACAATGGTGTTGCGGTGCTTTTTATCTTCTTTTATGAGCTTCAACACTTTTCAAAAAAAAGCTAGACCGAATGAAGCAATCCGCTCCGTGAGCTTTGAAACTCGTGTTTTGCTTCCATCTCATCTGGGGTGTTGCGCCACGCCGCGAATTCTTAGGGTTTATGCTTTTCTTGACACTTTTCTTTACACGCTAGGCTCAATAGGGGTTTCGTGAGCATGAGCGTTGAATCTCGTTTAACACACAAGTAACTTTCCCACAAGCGCTACGCTAGACTCAGTTGAGGTTTCTTGATCATGAGCGTTGAATCTCGTTTTAACACAAAATCTCCCCCTAAGCGCTACGCTAGACTCAGTAGAGGTTTCTTGATCATGAGCGTTGAATCTCGTTTAACACACAGCTTCCCACAAGCGCTACGCTAGACTCAGTTGAGGTTTCTTGATCATGAGCGTTGAATCTCGTTTAACACAAAATTTCCCACAAGTGCTACGCTAGACTCAGTTGAGGTTTCTTGATCATGAGCGTTGAATCTCGTTTTAACACAAAATTTCCCCCAGGCGCTCGCTGAGTCAGAGATCATCTAATACCAGTACAACATAATGCAGCACAGAGGAGAAGCGGGACGGGTTTTGCTAACCGTTACGACTAGACCAAAAGGTGATCACTAGTAGTTCGTCACCAAACAGTAACTTATACTAGTTGTAGGCTTGAAAGCGTAGGACCGCTTTCCCACACACATAGAGAGATGAGATGAAAGGAAACACGGAATTCAAAACTGACTGTGTTGAAAATGTCGATTCGATCTTGTGTTTGACGGGGCTGTATTGAAAGCGGACGACTGAGCATGAGGAGAGCATTATAGGGTGAAAGGAAAACACGGAATTCAACAGCGACAAAGCGCCTCAGACTGACAGCAGAAGTGTTGGAAATCTTGTCCTCTTTCAACACTTGTGTTGTAAGCACTAGATCAAACGAGGTATACGACGCCGCGAGCTTTCGACTCCGTGTCTTTCTTTAACACTTTTCTTCTCCCCCGCTAGATTAGATGGAGGTTCTTAAGACCATTGGCATTGAGCTTCCTGTTCCTTTAACGCATCCTCTTCCCGCGCTAGAGCTTACCAATTCTCGGACGTGCACATGCGTTGCAATAAAGTAGGCTCGAAGCTCAACACTTCGCATAAATTTTGCAGTGCTCGAGACTTTCAGGGAGTAACGTCTGTGGACTGCTCTCCATATTCCAAGACCTGAATGTTTCCGAGCATTGCACTCTGCAATGATAACGAGATAAAGCTCAGCATCATGGCTTCAACTGGAACTCATGCCTCTGGCACCGTGACAACCAACAGACCAAGACACACACCACAAGCCCCTTACTCTCTTTCTCCCACCTGAGACTCGCGACGACGCCTGTGCCTATCTCTTCAGAGCTGGCGATCTTACCAACCTACATACATCAACACACCTCACGAAGCTAGAGAGCGCTTGTATCGCGAAGGAGTCTGTCGAATCAAGATGTTTAAGCCTTTCCGATTATGGTGCTCGGGACTCTTTCTTTCCACGGGAATGGAAGCGTTTTCAGAACTTCCATCTCCACGTTTCCTTCGGGCCTGGGAGTACGCTGCATTACTGCCCATCTTCTGGCAGTTCTGGCACTTGCCGATCTCAAGGAGACCGATCTCAAGCGTGAATGTCTCATCACCATCGAGTACGGGACTTTCTACCCGCTCGCTCCTATTGCTCATCACCTCTTTAGATTAAACAACTGTTTACAGAGAGTGCACACCTCACTACCTTGACGACGGTAGTGGTAATGCTCGGGTTCACGCAGTTTGAGATAAGGAAGGGCATGAAAAACATGGAACACTCTGACTGGTTCGACGACAATACGATGCGGGACGGTTGGAATGTTATGAAAGGGAGGCTGGAGCATAGTTTAGGTCCAGCGGAGCTCGTTGGTGGTATAGATCGAGAGGACCGGCGATTGGTGTTCCATCTAGGAGAGTTTCGCGACTCTTTGGCGCCAAGGCAACAGAGACTTTGACTCATAGCTTTTTCCAATTTGTAGAGTGGCGAACGGTGTAAAAGTTGGAATTTTGAAGGGAATGGTCTTACAAGAGCGACGCTGATTCCGACAAAAAAAAATTGCAAATCCGCTCCCGGATAGGATTGAACTCTGGTGGAAGTGTCAATAGCGATACTCTGACCTCCGTTATTTGCGCTAACTTACATCAACTGGTACAAATATTAGACACGCAAGTTTGAACTGAAGATATGACTCACCCTCCCGATTAACAGTCGGATGCGCTAACCCTACGGAATGGTGAGCAAGAAATCTCTCATTGGAAAGGGAGAAGCCTACAATTGCGCCACGGAAGCTACGCTTGTTAATAATTGGGCCCTAGATTTCTATATTATGAAAAAAGACATTCAAATCATTACGCTTTTACGCGTGAGTGCGGCATGACTTCACGTGCCTCTTATTCGGGCAAAAATGTGTGGCATGGAGAGCCCACCACAATCCGTTACTATTAATTGTAGGGAAAAAAATGCGTAACTCGGTTAATATCACATAGGCGATACATCGGACAGCTTGCACCAGACGCTTAGACAAAGGACTGGAAGAGAGTTCGTAAATTGAGGAGGCACTGAGCGAACGCCAAGACATCGAATTTACAACGCCTACTTCAGCCCTACCAATCCCGGCGGGTCTGCGAAATTTTGGTAGACTTGAAAGATTTCACCCACTCGAACTTCCTAGCGTCTAAACTGCGAATGCGCAACAAGCGTACACACTTCAAAGGTTCCACACGATCGCGTCACAATGGCCGCCGTTTACAAGTCCCTCTCAAAATCTTCTACGCCCAAACCGTCCACCACCAACGGTGTCCCCAAAAAGAACAAGCAGCGGGTCCTGATCCTCAGTTCTCGAGGCGTCACCTACCGACATCGACATCTCCTGAACGACCTCTACTCTCTCCTACCACACAGCCGCAAAGACGCAAAGCTTGATACAAAGACGAAGCTCTACCAACTCAATGAGCTGGCAGAGCTCTACAATTGCAACAATGTACTATTTTTCGAGGCAAGGAAAGGGAAGGATCTCTACATATGGATGAGCAAGGCACCTAATGGACCGACTGTCAAGATGCACCTCCAGAACTGTGCGGGACACATCTTTCGCCACAAACGTGCTAGAGCTAACAACGGTACCTAGTACATACTATGTCAGAATTACACTTCCCAGGCAACTGTCTCAAAGGATCCCGCCCTATACTCTCCTTCGACGCTACCTTCTCCTCTCAGCCACACCTTCTCATCATCAAAGAACTCCTTACCCACATCTTCGGCGTGCCCCAAGGCGCGCGGAAAACGAAACCCTTCGTCGACCACGTCATGGGCTTTACGATAGCAGACGGCAAGATATGGATACGATGTTTTCAGATCAGCGAGACGGCTGTGTCTAAGTCTGATGCTGCGAAGGAGAACGGAGTGGATGGCGCAGCGGTGACATCGAAAGTCAGCAAGAAGCCTGGGGATACAAAAATTAGCCTGGTGGAGATAGGGCCGAGATTTGTCCTTACGCCGATTGTGATACTGGAGTCTAGTTTTGGAGGCCCGGTTATCTATGAAAATAAGGAATTTGTCAGTCCGAACCAGATACGGTCGGAGTTGAGATTAAGCAAGGCTGGGAGGTACAATCGGCGGAGTGAGCAGGCGCTAGAGAACAGGAATAAGAGAGGGGAGATGGGGTTGAGGACAGGCGTGGGAGAAAGAGAGAAGGACGAGCTGGACGAGAGTGTGCTGTTTGCATGAAAGACGAGGTCTTGCGGATCGACTGCCCTGGACTGCGGGTTCTGGCAAGAATACTGGTGTCAACGCAGTATTTTGCCCTCACATGAGCAGCCTTTCAGTAAATGTGAAGCCCGGCGCTGACATATACAGCCATGTTTGAAAGCACTTCCCTCCATCAGAGCCGATGTGGACAGGAAGATCAACCTTGCAGGACAGCGCATTTAAGGTATCCCAAAGAGCTAGGTCGACGGCTCATACTTCAAAATCGACCTCCGTTATCGATGCTTGCTTTGAGCACACTTTTCAGCTCTGTACGATGAGCCCCTAACCCCGTCGCTAGTGTCACAAAGTCATGCAAGGCGTTCAAGCGAGCAGGATTCAGTGCCTAATTTTCAGACGGGTTCATGGGAACATTACGCGGTTCTACCCCCGGCGCCTCGTCCCTGCGAGCTCTAATTCAAACGAATTAGTCTATCTATTTGGAGGCGGATTGTAGTTTCATTACCGACAGTCAACACAAAGGAAAACGTCATAACACATCTCTAGGTAAAGCAGCACATTGCTCCCAGCGCTCACTCTCTCTTTTCCTCCTTACAAATTCTCCCCCACCTCCCTCCACCTAACCAAGCACCCTTGCTCAATCAACCCCCATCCTCCACCAAACAGAATAAACATCGTTTTCACCTAATCAAACAGACTTCCTCTTTCCCACCCCCTCACCCAATCTTCGAAGGCCCCTTCACATTCCTATCAACACACAAGATGCCCTTCGCCTCCGAACCCATCCGCATCTCCTTCGACGACCCCAACTTTCTTCGCCGGGCCCTCGCATCCGCCATCTCGACGGGCCTTGAACTCGGACTCGCAGCCCTTTTTTTGGGCCTGTCCTGCGCGATTGGAATCATCGCGGTCGGTCTAGCGATGCGATTCTTTCGGATGCGGAGGGTGATGGCTTTCTTGAGATAGACGGCGATGCGTGAGTGGGACGACGTTGGGTATCTGTGCACTGTCATCACTCTTTGCCCCTGGGATTCGGATCTTGCTCTGATCTTTGTGATGGATGTGGTGAGTAGGAATGGAAGGCGCAGTTCCCCGTGCGGGTTTGTTGTTTGTGAGGTCTATGTGATTGCTCAATTGCCCATCTGACATCTTTTCTCTTGCGTATGAGTCGCTGAATATTAATACTCGGTTCCACTGGATGGGGTGTGGTTGGGACCGAGGGCCGGTGTCTTCTCTAACCGCAATTAAATATCCTTTGACCCACTGACCAATTTTAGCCAGCTGATGTGCTTATGGTCCATCCAGCTGCAGAAGATCCTAAAGGCAGCGAAGCACCTCTCAGTCTCCGGCCGATCAGAGCACATGAAAGGACGACTCACGTACCCAAAACTTAGCCTTCCAACCTGCTCCGGATCCTGCAACCGCTCGCCAGCTGTTCAGGTTCTCAACCATCTCGTTTCGAGACACGCAGGCTGCCGCGTCGGAAATCTCCCGTCCCGTTTCCTTTGTCCCGTCCGGACTTATAACCCCTTCCCAACCCCCTCTCAGCTTGCACTCCTCCTTCATCCCCCTCACGGCCTACAATCCAAACTTCCTTACAAACAACCATCCCCTCCCCCTCCTCACCCTCACACCTCCCAAACCATCCGCAGCCATGCAATCCCCCGCCCCCCTCCCCTCCGCATCCGCCACCATCCCCACCCCTTTCCAAACCCTCCGGCAAGACCCCACCTTCGCCAACCTCCTCCGCGTCCTCCCAACCGTGCTGACCTCCAGCCTCTTCATAACTTTCGGGCTCCTCGGCGCGGTCCTCGCGTGCCTCAAATGGGCCCTCTTCATCGTGATCATCGTCGTCACTTTTGGGCTCGGCCTGGCGATCTTGGTCGTGGCTGCCGCGTTTTTGGTGGCGGGCCTGCTGGGGCTGGGGCTGGGGCTGGTGGCTGCGGCAAAGGAATAGGAGGGGAAGAGGCGTCGGGTGAGGGGGGCGCTGGTTGTGAGAGATGCGGAAGGGAGGTGTGCATTGTGTCCTTGCTTGCTTGCTTGCTTGCTTGCTTGCCTGCCAGCCTGGCTCGTAGCATGTGTTGACGATGATGTCTAGGGAGTTTGATGAGAATGCGGCTGTTCGGCGCCAAAGGGAGGAGGCGGCTGAAGATGCGAAGGCTGAAGATGGGAGCAGTAATGCACGTTTCCCGAAACGGCCCGCGCCCAATTGACTGCCGAGATGATGAGGGGGACGCATTGCTGGGAGTCGTCCCTCTCTCAGGCTTTTGGCATGCCTTTGGCTTCTGGCGGTGTTGGGAACGACCACTTCGAGATAGACGCCACTGATGTGATGGGGGGGAGGGGGGTGGGAAACGTGTTCACTTTCTTTTTCCGGTTTAAATAGCATTGCCTTAGCCTCTGAGCCAACCTTCCACAGTCCATCTTCTCGCCTCGTTCATGCTTGATGACACTCTATAGCTATTCGTCCGCCTTAGTAGCAGGCTATTAGGTCGCCGCGATTATTGCCAGAATCCAACGTGCCGGAGTCTGCCCAAATTGTCCCAGAATTATGTACTCGCGGTAGCAAAGAAATCGAGTGATGAGTCTTCATTCCTCCGTTCTGACGGCGGAGGACGATGCACGCTGACATTGTTGAGCCATTGGAGAGCGATGAGGAAGCCCGGTACGGGCGGGTCGGAGACTCAATCAATTCGTGGCTCACAATGGCGCTTTTGGAGATTATGGAATAGGTTTGAAGGAAAGACAGCTTTCGTTATGAAGGGCAAGGGTTGGGACTTAGACTCGTAATGTACACACCTATCACCTAAGCTTTTCAGGCCTCCATGTCATACCCCTAATCCTCACCCCGGGGACCCCCAACGCACACCGTCCCACCCGCCGCCTTCCAAAGACCAGTGACAAACACAGTTCCGCTTGGAGAAGGTAGTAGTCACTGAAGATCTTCTTGCCATCTTCAGAATTGCAGTATCCTCCTACCACCCAATCCAGGTCGACCAAACCATCTTAGAACTTCTTGAAAGTCTAGGCGCTATGGCAGTTGATGCTTATACCCGATCAATTTAGCTATTCTATCGTCGCTCAGCACCGGCGAAAACAGCAGATTAGGTCTTCACGGGTACAGGCGACTGACTGATCTTGGACTCATCTGACAGATTTCAGCATGGGCAGAGGAAAACGCTTGGCTGCGCAGTTCTTTGGAAAACTTGCGCATTCAAAGGGATGAGTCAGCGGAACTGAGAATATAATGAAATGCAATATATATTGAAAATGAGATATCTTATATGGTGGATTATAATGAGAGTATAATGGCTCCCATCCACCTTCCCGATCTCAACTCTTCCGAGTATCAAAAATTCCCAATGAGCATCACTGAAGACAGCAAATCAAACCAAAAAACCACCTCAGAAGAACGGCAAGACCGACAGCAATCATACGCACCTAACAGGGACACAATCTACAAGACTCCCCACGCAACAATGGCCGGTACCTCCGGCTGCATACCAGACTACCATGTCAACCTCTTCAGTAAGCTTTGCAAACCAGCACCAAATACCTCGATCATGACTGCTTCTGAACCTGGGCCCCAAGCCGACACCAACGACCACATCAACGAAGCCCCGGTACCATCAAGCACCTCGGTACGGGCTCCTGAGCCTGACCCAATACTCCAACTATTTAACGAAAATCAGAACCTCATCCGAGGTCTCTCTCTCGGAAATGCCGAGACGTATCTGGCAGCCGTGAAGGAGGTATTTGCGGAAGTGCGCCGAGACCGAGCGAATGCCTGTGTCGAGCTGCCTCGAAAGCAACGGGGAGCGGACCACCGCAAGGTTGAGCTCATCGACGAAAAACAAGCTGAGCATCAGGATGAACATGGAACCGAATTCCAGGACCAACATAATGATCAACAACGAGATCGACAGCAGGCAGAACAGGGAGTTGACCCGGAGGATCAACACCAAAATCAATACCGTGTACAACACCCGAAACAACACCAACCTCATCAGGAAGAGCACCAACCTCAACACCAACCTCAACACCAACCCCAGAGCCCACCCAAACACCCCGCCCATCCCTTCATCATCACCCACTATTCAAAGGAGAACGACGAAGACAAGAAACCTCGCCAAAGTCGCTTGCAACGAGAGGCGGATGCAATGTACTATATAGAAGACGATACGGAAGACAGAGAAACCGACTGTGACGAGTTTCGAGGGTTGGATGCACTGCTCATGCCTAATTTTACCGGGGACCCTCGGAAGAAATATGGATTTGATCAGATGCGGCTTGGCGAGTAGTGGGAAAGAATGCTTGGGGGGTTGTAGGGGAGAGTTGCGCGTGTGTGCTGGAGATTGAAAATAATTCGGTGTTACCTTAATGAACAATTTCGGCGAAGATCGTTCCCAATACAAAATATTCACACCTGTAAATAGTGACATTCCTCAGTCCACCACATCCTTGCAAACCGCGCTGATACTAGGTTGCCTCAAAATAAGTTTATGACCTTTCCCCCACAGAGCTCCGGCTAACGGCGGAGGATTCCTCTTCAACTCGGCGAGGACTAGAGTACCAAGTTGAGAAGGTTTGCGGCTATCGTAGAAACGGTACACCAAAGCGTGCCAGTGGTCACTAAGAATGAAATGGATGCGATATCCTGTGGCGTCTGCTGAGTATGTTGAAACACTTCGGAATTCACGAAACCCAGCCTTTGTCAATGCCCAGTCCTCGAGCAACGATCAAGCTTGCAACATCCTCGAGCAACGGCAAAACATAGACACTCAAACGAAGGGCCATAACCAGGCTTCCCGAAGTTCCACAGTCCCGAGCGAAAGCCGACCCCAAAAGTATCTCCTACCCACGCCATGTCTGCTGTAGAATCCGAGTGTCAACATGCTCGATGGGCAAGTTGGCCACTCCTGGGGAATGAATCAAGTTGGAAAATGGGCCAGTTGTCGGCTGGTGTTGCGTTCGGGCGCTCTGAGGACTGCAACGAGATGTCTTGGCTATATCAGTCTCCATTCGAGTTGTGATTGAGCAAGTTCAACTAGGATTCGTGTCTAGCGCCAAAGTTCCAATGCGCATCAACCTTTTCAATGGCTCATTAGACATAATGCACTTTGACAAGGTCTTTTACGATTTATCTGAAGCTCTTAAGTCTCTGTTCGTCAGCAAATTCCCAAGATCCCGACCGACGACGCAAACCTCATCATCCATAACCATCGACTCCCTGCTCTATAGCAACACCCCAGCAAGTCCGCCACCGTCGCCATCGTGATGGCTTCTCCAACAGCGACACCAATCCCTCTTCTACACACCGACGAAAACGATTTCGACGCGACTAAGTACTACTTGGAGCTACTCGGCATGGTCGCGGCCACAATCACGATCTTGGTTCTTGTGGTCGGAATCGCTCCTGCTATCGCTCGAGGCTTCGTTGAACTGTTCCGCAAGATTGGAGAGCGCAGAGAGCGTCGTCGGGCCGCGGAGGATGAGGAGACTGCGATAGAGCTTGCACCATGGAACGCATCGGGCGTTGCGGGTTGGGAAGAGAGTGGGAATGGTAAGCAGGGAAATGGTGTGGGTTCTTGAAAATTCATGCGATGGGGGTAAGGCGATTGAGGGCTGTGGTTTGGGTGTACGGGGCGTGGATGTGGGCGCTGAGGGAGTAATGGCGTTGGAATTGTACGTGGGAGAAGGACGTTGTTGATCATATACACCAAAAGGGTCGTGAAGTACGCTTCACTGGCACACTGCGGCATTTGTCTCCTCTCTTTCCATCTTGTTGTTCGATGACTGGCGAGAGAAATTGCGACGAGTCGGCGCCACCGCTCCGGAGATCCTACTGCCTCAAATGCGCTCACCCACGCAGGCTTTTGGTTGGATTGGCTTATCAAGAGCCTGGGCTCGTGAACATCAGTATTATCTTGTTCATGATGTACATCAGCTTTCCCGGGCAGTCGATTTCTCGGCTCATCTTACTTTTCCTTGCCATCCTTTTCCATAAAGCGCAACGCACGGTCAAGTCTTCAGCAAAACACGGCTACATTCATACCTACCCTCAACAAACCCAACCAAAATGTCTTCCACCACCATCAGCCTCCTTGCAGACCCTACCGCCGATAGATACAGCATCACACGATCCCCTATCGCCCTCGTAGGATGGCCCGAGAGTGTGACTACCGGGATATCAACAACATCAAGTGCTCCCAACACCGATTACCCAGAGACAGCGGAACCTTGGGAGGATATTTGGGCGGTTCTGGCGGTTGTTATCCTAGGAATAGCTGTCTCGCTCATCTTGTTCATCGGTTATCTCATCATCAGAGCCAAAGTGAGGGCTCTGAAAGATCGGCGAGACCGACGTCTTCGAGCGGAGACGTAGTGGGCGGTATTGAAATCTCTTCAGGACGGCGCTAGAGACTCTACCGGGAAACTGCTAAGCCTACAGGTCTAGCTGGTCGTGGAAATGGGGCAATTCCGGGAATGCAATCGACGACGGACGTGGAGGCAAGGAAGGAGAACATTGCGGCGGAAATTGTGTTGATTAATGAAGGCGCTTTCTTACAATCAGAGTATACGGTTGTTATGTGAATCTCTTCGGAGCCTTCAAGAGACCAGGGCGGTGTACCAAGCAATGAGCCGTTGGACTGCCACCCGGAAAGACTCTTTGCTCAATCTTGCTCACTAAATCGAAGCCCAGAGCACATCTTCTCACGGCGCGAAATAGACATGGGGTCTAGAAGGTCCTTTCAAGGAAGTGTCCTTTCCTAGTTCTTGTAGTCTTTTGACTCTTTCATCACGACTCACAAGAAACCTCCAAGCTTCACAAAAAACAACACCAACATCTCACTTACACCTCGCCTGCTTACAAGACACCTTCAGCCTCCTCAACCATGCCGAGCGAAGTCGTCGGCGAGTTCGTCGACGTCCCTCGCCCCGTCGCCATCCTCCTCGAATCCGCCTATGTCGTCCTCTTAGCCTTGGGCTTCCTCGCCTCCGTATTCACCGCCGCCTGCCTGCTTTGGCAATTCCTCGGAAACGGGCGTCCGCTGGCTCCATCTTTCTTGTTTGCGCGGGCGAGTTCGGAAGAGGAAAGATACAAGGACGGAGAGTCGTGTGAAGAGCGTGCGGGGTTGGAGTTTGGAGATGACACGGATGAGGAGTATATGCGGCGGCCTTATTGATGGGGTGTGGTACGGCTGTCTCTTCTTGATCAATGTGGTGGATGGGAGGCTGACATCTGTGTAGGAAGTTGTGAGAGGATGGGGAAGGGGGGAACTCGAGGCCGCGTCTTTTGGATGTGCTCAGACATGTCGAAATTAGCTGCGAAACTTGGTGTTCCAGGAAGGCTTCGGAGCTGCGCATGGGGACAATGGGAGAGAGGCTCGGCGATCCGGACAGGCATTAAAAGTGCCAGACGTGGCAAGATGTCATATCACAGCAGACTTACAGGCGCTGGGACGAATACGTAAATTGCCAGTCGTTTCTACGGCGAATTGCAAAACCGGTCCATCCCATAGTTGAAATCTGGATGAGTTCACGGCTACCTGAATGTCCGAAAGGATTTCTCTTCACTGGGGTTGAGTCCTCATGTTAGACCTTCATTCCTGTCTCTCGCCACCTTACAAAGTCATGGTAGCGCAGTCATCGCCCGAGCCCTAAATCTCAAGTTCGTAACCCTTGAGGCCTGGCGAGTTGTACGGGAATGTAGCAAAAGTCATGCATAGAGAGAGTTTCAAAACACAACAGGAGTATCTCTCCTTCGTTCCATTTGCGCATATTCCTGTGGATACCGATCAAAACAAATCGACTTCCCTATCAAGGAATCATAAGTAGAAACGATTTTTAGCCGAAACGCATGAGAACTAGCACTCTTTTCTGGCACCGCGTCTGAGTTGTACGACTTTTACAACTTCTCCCTTCGAAATAAAATGACAGTTCTTGGGAGAAGCTTGTGAAAATGGTCACTATGTTCTGGCAATTGTAGGACTCCTACAATTGCGTTGACGGCTTTCGCTTTCTATGCATGACTTTTGCTACATTCTCTCAGAAAACCCTTTCTTTCTCAAAATTACCGTTGGGACAAGCTCGATGTTGACAAATGTACTCTCAATGAACAACGACTAGACGCAATACTCGGCAATGAACGTAGTAAATCAAGTTCAACGCAAGCTGGGGCATATGAAGGGTAAACCACCGCTCTGATATGGGGTTAAACGTTAAGTGGTCCCTGATAACGAACGGGAATCTGGCATACCAGCATTTTATCACATAATTACGGCGGGCGTATCGTGACCACGAACGAGGCTCATAAAGAGAGATGGGTTCTGCGATGTCGTAGGCTAGAATATGCAGGGAAGGCCTCAAGTGGGCGCCGAAGTGGGGTTGAGTGCATGCATCGCCTGACGTCCCCAACTAATGCCGCAGCCTTGTTTTTCGGGTATTCCCCTCATTGCTTTCTTAAAATTGCTTTCTTAAAACCTTTAGGTTCCCCATAATTCTCTCTTTCGCGGAAATTCTGCTTTTGAAAGTTCGAAGTGGCTTCCAATACAATCACCGCAACAGCAGTCAACCTCAGCCACTGAAGCTTCAGAAACTGGCCGGCGGTTGTCTTCTACTTTGTCGGAAATATCTTCTTCTTTGTCTCGGCAGTGGCGGGCGTGATTACGATACTCCTTGGCGTTGTCGCTTTGCGTGTTTTAACAGTCGGAGCGATTTGAAGCATCGTGTTGAAATATCAAAGACCGCAGCGGAAGACCGACCCGCCGGCTGGGAGCCAGGACTCCGTCGAAGAGCACCAGGTGCAAGACCGTGACATTGGCGATGAGGAAGCTGCGGAGCAGCCGGGAACCTCCGAGAATGAGGTCAATGTACTAGTACTTACAAGGGATGGAGAGGAAGCGCCGCCCACTTAAGACGGTAGGTTGTTATGCCAGTGACCGAAGATGGAGACACGCGACGCGTATTTCTTTCAACAGCAGTCCCGCGGATAGCATAGAGCTCCATGGTTCTTGAACCAGAGACGGTGGATTCGCTGGCTTTTTATACCCGCCAAACTTGCAACACGAACGGCGTGACGGGGGAGCAATGCGTGAGGGAAGGATGGCGCATGGTACGCTGAGTATCAACGTTGAAAGTAACGCGGTGTCAATGAAAATGGAGAGAATGCACACAGCGGTCAGAACTCGGGGGGTGCCGGTAGATTCATGTTGTATGTCTATCTCAGCAGGTCAAGGTCATGGAAGGAAAACCGACTTCATTCCAACATTTCAGACAAGTGCTGTGTTGCCGCGATGGACTCAGCAGGCCCGCTGGCAGGCGTCGAGGCGGGATCGAGTATATGCAATGACCCGGCGTCTAGGACTCCGATAAGTGTCTGCCAAAGATACCATTAACACATTGCTTAGCGTCTTGGCTTTGGCATCGTCCGCCTCATGTTCAGAGCTCCAAAAGACTAAGAAACTCCATCATCTAGCACATGATCATCTTGAACAATATGTTCCATTTCGCTTTTCTCTCTCTCAGGGTCATGGCGTCCAACACAACCAGAGCCGACTTCGACGACTTGAGCTTCCGCCACTGGTCCGCCATTGGTTCTCATCATCGTGAAAGATGTCTTGATCATTGTATCCGCAGCGATAGCCGTGACCACGATATTCGTTGGCCTTGATTTTCTGGGGTTATTCCTGATTGAAGGACCTCCGAGGGTAACTCGGAGCACCGTGTGGAATGTCAAGAATGGCAGAAGAAGTATCCAGTGCGGCGGAAGAAAACTAGCTCGCCGGCTGGGGAGAGCCGTCACTCGGCTGGAGAGTACGAAGGATACCTGCTGCAAGAGCGCAAATTTGGTAGGGGGAGGGTCAAGAGCAGCTGGTCACTGCAGCGGATGATACCGATTCGCACAATGAGGAGTGCCGCCAAAGTACTACAATGGGCTGTGCTCCCGGCGATGGAAGGAGACGCGCCATACAGCGCTGATCCTATTAGCCACAACGGATATCACATTGTCGGAGCCGGCCGATAAAAGCGAAAGACCCTGTACGTGGAGATTGCCGACTTTGGGTGGTTAGTGTGCGGAAAGAAAGATAGTTACGTGATAAACTATGGCCATGATACTGAAGCCCTAAGGCCTCGATGTTCCTGTCCAATCTCAGAATCACAAGCTGCTCTGTTCACAAACGCCGATCATTAGGCCCTTCATTGAGATGTCTTCACGACTTAGATCTCTCCAGGTAGTCAGAGCAGTTCGACACCTCCTCCTGCCAATCATGTTCCGACGGATACTTAAGCATCCAGCTGAACTCGAACTCATTCGTAGCATATAGCACACGCGTCGCTTCAACATTGACCTGTCTGCAAGTGCCCAATATGCTAATATCCCCTGGATACCACGTAATGACCTTCTTGTCGCCCGTTCCTGTACTCAAAGTATGCGGAAGCGCGTGACGGTATACATGCTCTCTCAGCTCCAACGGGAGGCGCATGAGTGAATTCTTTGTGTAAGCATCCGTAAGATGTTCCTGCAACCTCGTTCTGAGCGCCTCATTTACCAGCCCAGGATCTTCCACGGTGACTTTCTTAGTCCTTTTCAGTTGCCAGAAAGGATCCATAACTAGCGGCAGGACTGCGTGACTTTCTTCATTGCCTCCATGGTAGCTTATGCGGAGTTCGCGGATCTCGTGCATTTCTTTCAAGAAAGCGCACAAGATGTTAACTTGGCACCTGAGACCTCGAGCGAGTACCTCAGGATTACTGTAGTTGTACTTAATCATGCCCGTGTAGCTGTCAACCTGATGGACCCTGACGTAGAAATTGCGCATCAAAGGCCTATTGCGCGCAACGATCGGATCCGGGAAATTGAAGATGCGTTTTGGTACTAATGATCTTTGGGGGAGAACCCATTGGTAGAGAAACTCAGCCTTATCGAATTTGATGTCGATGAGGAAGGTGGGGTTTCCGTATATCAGCCTGATGCATTCTTTGTACACCAGGCGGTTCGTGGCCCATATGGCTGCAGTTGCTCGGAGCCAGACGATGCCACGATCCGGATGGTCTGTTGTGCTAGGCAGCACATAATTGTATATGTGGGCTCGCAGCTCGTAAGGCAACTTGAGGAACGGACAGCCTTTGGGCCGGGATGCCTGAAGCTGCTCAGCCTTGGGCGGTTCTCTAGAATGGTGGTGAAAGTACAGCGAGTCAGAGACCGCGAGCATTTCCGAATCATAGCCATAGACTGATATAGAACTCATAGCTGGTGGATGCATATGATCCGTGATCGCAGGAACGACGGGTTCATACTACAATTGATCGTGACTTGTTGGATCGAAGTTAAGTGCCGGGTGGTAAGAGTGAAAAGATGGGAAGCGAGTACACTAGTGGGACCGCGATCAATAAAGCTTAGGGCTGGCCACTTGGAGGCGATTCCGTGAAGAACACATTTAGTCATGGTTGACTTTTCATTTGATAGCAAAATAATGTAGATGATGTTAAGGAGACCAACCTCGAGCAATGTTTCCTCTTTTGACTCGTCGCAGATATTCCTCAACACTCTCTCGAAATACGTTGGTTCTACGTATCATTGAGTATCCGCAACTCGTGTCGAGAACTTTTGGGAACAAGCAGCGGACACCCTTCTGACAATTTCACAAGGTTTGGCAGCGAGAGTTCCGAGGACGAGTGAAAATGCATGAGTGTGTAACTTATAGCTTAATGTCCCATGTTTTGATGCGTACAGAGAAGGAGACGGGCCTCCTTCTCCCTACAGACAATTTAAGGTACTTCTGCCCCACCACTTCAGTAACTTACTCCCAAGCCGCTTCTAAACAAGTTTTTCTATACCAAAAACAAAACAACGCTCACCAGCGCCCCAGGAACATCCTCAAAACATGTGTCTCATTAGAACTCCCGCCTCAGAGCCCAGAAGACCCAACGCCAACAGCGAAGGCAACGCAGACCTCTTCAGCGCGCCTCAGCCTCAAATACGGCACCGCATCACCACCGACATGGAGCATCTGATCCTTTCTCACAACACCCATTTTGAATAAATTTTCCACACTGAGGCGGGTTGCTGCGTATCTGAGCATATTCCTTTTAGCACCAAGGTTAGCCAGCCAGTAGCATGGAACCCAGTGACTCTCTTCGAGTTCGAAGGTGAAGAATGATAGAAGTTTTTGTGGTATATTAGAGTATACCTGTCTGGGGAGAAGAGACGAACCCAACACCCACCATCTCAGAAAGCGTTGCCAAGAAGTACCTGAGCGGAAGGCGAGCATGTCGGAGGACGCGTGGCCTCTTGACTAGAGTAAAGAAATTCCAACCTTTTCTCATCGTCGATGGCCAAGTCGTTAGCGCCTTTCTCCGGTTGCTCGATCTCGCGGATCATCTATACCAAAGGTATGTCGGATAGCAAACGTTTGTTGTCTCGAGGTTCCCAGCCTCCTCTAATGTCTGCAAGCTCACCGGGAACCACATGTCCTTCAGTCTTGGATCTTTCTGCTTCTTGAAGTCATCGAGCTGGAAGAGCACATGCATGAACTTCAGCCGCCTCTCATTGATGGATATAGCGTGACGGATGTGCTTCGCAGGCGGAACGGGCGATGGCGGCGACGACTTGCGGAACAAAAGGAAATCGAACTAGTCTACGCTGTTGACACAGTCGGACAAGCCCAGGAAATGATAAACGACGTAGGGACAAGGCCCATCGATCGCGGTACGGGCTCGTTATCTTTTGATGTATGTAGATCGATTTGAGTACGTCATATATTGTCGAGGCCTTGACACTCAAGATGGCTTTGTGAGTGCTGAGAGTCTTATGAGTCATACCTTCCTTAATTCATGCAAGATGCCACTGTTGCTCAGTAAGAATGTGCAAAAGACGCCAAAGACGTGTACGTTATAAGAGCGATGTATCCTCTTCCGGAAGTCAACCCTAAACGTTCACTCACGACATGAGAAGAACTGATCTTCCTCCCGTGGAAACGAGTAAGGCGAGATAACAATGATTGATTAAGCGAAGGGAGAAGGCTAAAAGGGGAAGAGCGAAGGGGGAACGGGGACCATCTAAGACTATTGCTCCTTCACCTCCGCACCACAGTCAATTGATCGTGAATCCGGCGTAGGGGGTTCCACGTTTGGCGGTGATACATGTGATTAGCTAGCGATAGGAGTGGACACTGCTCTGGGCCCTTGATGATGCCTGTCCTGCACGATAATCGACTACTCTCTACACACACACACAAACCCGCCACTTCGCACTACATGTTGCAGTAGTGATCGAATGATCGAACGATCACCTTATCACTATGAAGCGGCATGTGTTCTCTTAGAGTCTAAGATGGTGGGAGTGTCATGAAACGGACTCGCAAAACCTGGAACGCCTTGATCGCAATTTAGCCTTGGCATCAGCCCTACAGATATAGCTCCACACGTCTTCCCGGTCGCGCTTCTTACGCGAAGTGAACCACTTCCACCTCGCCGCCTTCACCGCAAGCTCACCACCTCTCAACACCAGACCTCGAACCCGCAGATACCCCAATCCTTGCGCCAATACCCTACTGCCACATTAGGTCACAATCTGATCCTTGCCATCATGAGCAGCACTAACCCCACGCACGGCGGCACCATGAGTGATCCCGCCCAGACTGTCGCTGAGGGAAAGGGCAAAGGCAAGGCAACCGATGCGCCTCACGATGTGAGCATGGGCGAGGACGATAGCAGCTCGGACGAAGAGACTGGAGCTGAGGATGAGGTGCGCCTCTCGTCTCTGCCAATGGCATAGGCTCTCAGCATTGTCGCTAACGCTTTTCGCGCATAGCCAAAGGAAGAGCGTAAGCCTCTCCATAAACACCCTACCAAACACCAATCACATCGCTAACGCCGGTGTCTCTGCAGCTGAAGAAGAAGACGAAGACAACATGGAGGAAATCGACACCGACAACATCATCAGTGATGGCCGGCGCACACGCGGTAAGTCCATCGACTTTGCCAAGGCAGCCGAGGAGGCGGGCGACGAGCTGGACGACGACGATGATGATGAGGAGGATGACGATTTCGAGGAGAAGGAGGATGACCACGAGATGAAGGACTAGGACCAGCATCGCACGGCATGCGCTGTCTGGAAGCTGGAGCGCGACCCGTGGATTGAATGCCTTGCATAGAATCGTGGCATAGGTGCAAAAAAGCGGAGCTGCAAAAAGCATTTGTTACTTGCATTGTTCATAAGGAGATATATGAGCCTAGAGACTCTCTTCTGAAATTTGCTGGCATGGGCGCTGGAATGCGCCGAGCAGATTTGTGTGCTCGCTGCTCTTGAGCATCGATTCGCTCATAGCATAAGATGATATCCAATTGAACCAAGCTCCTCTGAATGGAAAATGGCTGTGAAACGGACAGTCAAAGAGCGCCAAGCTTTGTTGAGTTGCCATCAACAATTATTGCCCGCAACCATTCAGCGAGCACCAATCACTTCCCCATCGCAATGGCCGAGCTCCCTTTCTCCAACTCGCCCAATCTAATGCACCTCTTATCCAACCGCATCATGATCCACTAGTATTTCTCTCCACAATTGCTGCCTCTCCCTTCTTTCATCCCCCAAAGGCCACCTCTCTGCTTCCCCCCAGGCACCCTCTTTGCCCTCCAGAAATATGGCCTCAAGGTATTCCCATTCTTCCTCAGTATGTCTCTGTTCTCTCTGAGTCTAACTCACCATGACCGTCTCCAGCAGATTCGGCACCTCCGCCCTCCACCAACGCGACCCCCGCTCCGCCCTCTTCGACTCCTACACCGGCGACCGAAATCGAGCTGCTAGCGCTTCACCGGGCGGATATGGCTACGCGGGGTCGAGTAGCAGTGGCATGGGGCCCGGTGGGACAGGGATGGGGCAGGTCAATGGGGGGTTCCGAAGTGCTACGCCGAATTCGAGGTATGTAGGGATTGGGCGGGATTGCTTGGGGAGAAGTGGCGCCAGAGTATAAGAAGAGCAAGGTGGAAAGACAATAGATTGCAAGGGGATGATAAAACTGGAGCAGTGGCATAGGTAGAGCAAGAGACTGATAATATGTTGGTATACAGAGGTCAATACAGCGACGCCGTACTCTCCGAACTCGAAAATCAAAATGACCAGCACCTCGAGGGCATAAGCGCCAAGGTGAAGATGCTGAAGGATGTTCGTCTCCACTTTCCCCTCCTTCCCCCTCTTTTCCGTCCCTTGTTCCAGTCTCCCGCTAACGTACCACAGATCACCGTCTCCATCGGCGACGAGATCCGCTCCTCTTCCTCCTTGGCGGATAGCATGAATGACTCGTTCGACAGCACACGCGTGCGGTTACGAGGGACTATGAATCGCATGTTGCGGATGGCTGAGAAGACGGGCGTGGGGTGGAGAGTTTGGCTTGGGTTTTTCGTGGCGGTGTGGTTGGTCTTTGCTTATGTTTGGCTGTTCTAAGAAGCCTATTTCAAGAGGAGAGTGACGCAACGAAAGGAACTCAACGGGATTTACTCGAGTGTGGGGAGGACATGAGGCGCAGATATAGATGCATGAGGAAGGTGCTGGGAGAGTTTGCATAAGCAGGGCGTCGACAGCATTGCGAAAAGGCGATGCTCATGTTTAGTGGGTTTATTATAATGATCTGCATCTACGGAAATAAGGGCAATCGAAGCCATACTATTCTAGCAGTTTAATACACCACCTGCCCATCGCTTTCCACCGTCAAAGAGAATGCGTGTTCGCCAGCCAGCCAGCCAAAGCGATCTAGCTAATATAGCAGAGATCACCATTATCTCTGTCAATTCTCTCGTCCCCTCCCCCTCCCACTACTCCTCCTCCCCGTCCTAACAGGACTGCTTCCAAATACACTACTCCCCAACACCCCTCCCCCATTAGCCCCCAGCACCAATCCCCGCCCTCCATTCCCAAATCCCCCTCTCACAAGCCCCCCATCATCACTACTCTCATCCTCGACCTCCGTATCCGTATGCTCATAACTCCCCTCCTCCGCCTCCGGCACCTCCTCATCCAAATCCCCATCCCCATCCCCCCTCCCCTCCCCCTCCTCAAGCAAAGTCTGTTCCGCCCCCTCCAACCCCTCCTCCTCATCCTCCTCCGCATCGCTCCACCCCCCCTCTCCCTCAACATCCGCATCCGCATCCGCATCCGGCACCTCCTCATCCAAATCCCTCTCCCCCTCCCCCTCCTCCCCAGGCACAACCTCCACCGCCTCCGCTTCCGCCGCCGCCGCCGCCTGCGCTTCCGCAAGCGCATACTCCCTTGCCCGCGCCACCTCCCCCTCTTCCCGCTCCGCCCGCTCGTCCGCCATGCCCTGCAGCGTCTTGCCGACGCCCGGCGGGCGCAGCCAGCCGGCGCCGAAGCGTCGGATGTTGGCTTTGCGGTGGCGGACGGCGGTTTCGTGCTCGCGGAGGATGGAGAGGTGGGTGCGTTGGTGGGGGTTGTTGTTGTTGTTGTTGGTGCGGTGGGCGTGGGCGTGGTGGGGTTGGTGCGGGTCTGTTGTTGTGGGGGTGGGGTGGGGTTGGGATGGGGGGCCGGCGGAGAGGGAGGCGTACCAGAGGGTGTGGGGCTGGAGGGGGAATTAGTGGTGGGTGCAAAAGGGGGAGGAAGGGGGGGAGGGTGGTACGGATGGGGGGTGGAGAGTGGGGAGTGAGGAGAGCATTGTTGGTAGTTGCTGGAGAGATTCGTGCGCGGGTTGGTGGGTTTAGTTGAGCGTGTGGTAGGAGGTAGAAGATGGAGAGGAATGTGGGCGCTGGGAGTAAGGTGATGTAATTCTGGTACTCCGTTAAGATGGCAGACGCGAATTTCTATGCTCGTACGGCACGTGACTTTCATCACGTGAGACTATGTAGTCCCGCCTCAACACCGCAGCCGGGCGCCTCTCAGCTGTCACGCTAACATAATTATAAATTCGGATTCGCTACGCTTTTTAACCAGACTATCTAAGTTAACTCGCTAGTCCTTTAAGCCTTCTTATTAAAAAAAATATATATATATTATCTAAATTCAGACTATATGTTTTATTTTTTATTAAAATCTTTAAATTATTTTTCATTATCGAACACCGTACAGAGGTCTGTATTGAAAGTCCTGCACCCGCACTAGTATAGCCCTAATTTTACTTTCGGAAAGCGGCTCTATAGAGGGGAAGCCTAGAAATATCTTCTTATAGCGTATGGATAGGACTTTAGGTACTTCTTTTAGCTTAATAGGGATATTAAGCCCCGAAACCTGACTAGGGTTAGGTGCGATTCCGAAGAACTCTAGACGTATTGTCTAGGTAGCCCTTTAGGTGGGGCGTTATCCGAAGTCTGAGCGTAAGAGTCTTGGCGGGTGCAGGACTTTCGGTGCAGACCTCTGTACCTCGGCTCTCGGCTCTATCACGGCGCTGGAGTGCAATCTGGATTTGAAAAGAGCAGAGCCAATAGTCAATGTAAGGTATCTTAGGGAAGCACTCTATGATCAGCCCTACAGACCCTTTGCACGTCGGGCTGCAAGCGTTGGCGTATCCGCCCCCTGTTCAACAGCACTGTACCTTGCGGACTAGGAACGGGCCCGGGACCGGGAGTACTAAATGGTGGGACGCACTCCGTAGAGTGGGAGGGGGTCCGACTGAGACACCGTCTCATGCCTCGACACCGTCTCGACACCGTCTCGACACCGTCCCGTCGCGCCCACCCACCAACAAAGTAAGGTAGCGAAGCTTATGCACCAATGGGCGAAAGCAAGGTACTTTCAAGTAGCTTCGGCGATATGAAGGATTGAGCGAGTCAAGTGCCTAGTTGAGTCGTAGTGGTTGACGCGCGTCGCCGTTTAGTCTGGTTTCATTTTGGTGCGTTGCAACGGTTTATGATGCTGCTGAACAGGGGGCGGGTACGCCAACGCTTGCAGCCCGACGTGCAAATGGTCTGATGTTTAATGAGTTGAACACTCGTTAAGCGAGCTGGGACCATTTCATATCTGACCATGAACCGTTATGCATAACGATAAGCTCAATAGCGTCTGAACCAACCATTCTCAATTCCGATCTCCACTGGCTGTTCGATGCTACATAGGTAGTCTTGGTCTTTCTTGTTGTTCTTTTTTGGTAAACCTCTCCAAAGCTCTCCCGTGATCATTTCAAACCTGTGATCATTCTCACGGTGTGACCAAAGAGGGAGGGAATCGATTCTTAGACCACTAGTTGATGTTAGCTTTTAGCATCAGAGGAAGCGGAAAGAATCCAAGCTGAAGATAATCGTCACACAGCTTCTTAGCTTACCAAGGAAATAGCCAGTATGGGCGATACGTCTCAGGGTTCAATACCAATAGAAGTTAGCCCGGCTCGCTATTGAGACTACCTTGGTCTGCGCGAGGAGCGATCAACGCGATCCCCTTGCAGCATGGGGATTAGATGATCCTAGTGGAGCAATGCAAGACAAGGTGAATACTTTCATCATCTTAGGTAGATGTCTTGCTGCAAGAAGGGCAGGAAATAGACACATCGGAGCTGTCCTATCCATTTATTCGGCAAGACCCTCGAGCATAGTGGACGCCAAGGGATGGAGGGTGGATGTTGCCAAATAAGGGGATAGCATGACTTCTACCTTCTCCGTACCATGACCAACAGCGGAGAGCAAGTCGTTAGAGCGAAGACACATAGCAGAGGCGCCAAGGCACCGAGGGTGGATGTTGCCGTACAAGGTGATAGCTTCCCTCAATGGACTCGAATGCCACCTGTAAAGCATATCCACAATGGTATGGATTACGTCTTAGCACAAGCAGTAAGGGAATGCTTGAAATGGTTTATCGGCGTAGGTGCTTGTTCACCGATCTTGACGATAATGAAGCCTCGCCAAAATGCCACATTCTAGATTGCGGAAATCTCCGCAACCTCAAACACCATGCTTACGCGTCAACATAACAAGGAATTCGCAATTGTGCCTTCAATTGGTTAGTAGTGCCAAGAGATAGAGCCCCAGGAGTACCATGGTGGGACGCTGGTGCCGGTGGATGTTGTGAGATCGAATCCAAAGAGTCGCAGGTCTCCTTACTTGCAAAAGTTCTTGCATATCGAATCACATGGCTCGGTGAATACGCGAAACACGATGGAGATGGAAATCCTGATGCAGCGCGGATGGATCTCCTAAACGTGCCACACTCTCACTGACCTGAAACATGCACTCGTTGTACCCAGAGTCATCTGGGCGGGTAGGGCAGAGGATGACGGTTAATCTATCTTACCGTGTTCCATTTTTTCGGCAGATCCTCGGTAGAGCTAATAACGAACGCGTTGCCGAATTAAGGGAGATGCTCCTCATCTTACAAGTCGTAACATCCTGCGCCATATCAACGAATCATGGAAGGCGAAGTCCTCTAAGGTACATCATCTCCTGCCCCGCCGCAGTCCCGCAAATTGGTAAGATGATGTAGTCTTCTAACCCTCAACATCTGTTTTGAACGTTGAGACATGATGGAGACGTTGTCTGACCATTGAGAAGGCTCAGGCCAACACCACTTGACAAGAGGACGGGCGCTAACGTGATTGTGTGCACATGCGGTGACGAGAAAAGCGCATCTAAGTCCCAGGCCCTATTGCTCTTGGCATTAGGATGGTACCAATGCCAAATTTGGCGGAACACTTATCAAGCAACTTGCACCGAGGTACGCACACGCGATACTATAGTGGCGTATGACTACGGACTTGAGTCACTATTGCCTATGGAGTCTTGAAAACTGTAAGTAATATTATGGAGCCTTCAACAACGCGTGAACGATGTTGGATATCGAACGCACAGGTTTCGTCTTACCGTGCCGAGTGTCTTTACAAATAGCACAAAATGTCTAGAGCTAGTGATTCCTACATCGTTGTCGAAAAGAGGTGGGAAATAGCTAGCGGCAAGTTTCTGTTACAGGAGCACATGACGCGTCAACGCATCTTCAGCGAAACACCAACAGTAACAAAAGCTCGTTGGTAGGCTTAGATAGGTACGAATGTACAGGGCCATTGGGGTGCAGAATATTTGCGTGACGCGTCTTCTGAAGAGATACTACGAGGCGTTGCAACGATTCTTATTTGTTGATATCGCAGCCCGGAGAACTTATAAAGCCAGCACACTCATGTTCATGTAGTAATTATCGTTTGCAGCCTCAACATTCTTTGACCCGAAAGCATTTAGGGCTAAGTCTCTGAACTCTCCTTCTCGCTGTGCATACGGTCTTCAGCCTTGCATCCTTTTCAATATGCACTCATTTCTATGCTTTGTATCAGTCATCCTGCTCACGTCCTTGCCTGCACTTGGTCAGGTAGATTCCGACCCTCTTGACTCTGAAGTCGACACAAGTGTTCCCCCTACCTTGACAGCTCAGCCAACCAACACCGGCTCCAGGACATATCAGGTCAATCCTGCCGACTCGACTGAAAGTGTTGGGACCCAGAACAAACTTGGCACCTTACTGTACGGATATGATGGCTGTGACAACGCTGATTGGGAGGAATACTACTATGGTTACATCGATGAGGGATACTATGATTCCTGGCTCATTGCCAATGCTGCTGGTGTCAAGTCAGGCATTAACTTTAACTCTGCGGTAAGTAGCGTGCTTTGCAATATATATGTACCTATCCACTAAGAACGCAGCCCGCTGTGGAATATTTAGGACCCCCCGGCTTGAACGGCCCCCAACAGAAACAGATGCAAGCGGTCTTCGCCAACATGGCTACTATGATCTACAGCTACAAGAATCCGGTGCAACACTGGCTCCACGTACGGTGTGACGATCCTTTGAAAAGATGTCAGAGACGACCACCAGGTAACCCTTGCGTACCGAACCCACAAAATCCAGGCCAGCAACCAAGACCTACACCCTTTGCCTACTCTCGAAACTCAGACCCAGACGACGGATACCCAATGATCAACTTCTGCAGAGGGTACTTCAAACGCGCCAGCCTAGCCAGTAAGCTTGCTACCGGGACTGCTCTACCAGTTCCCGATAGGTACAACCTCGCAAATTACAATTGCAGAGCTCAAACGTTCTTTCACGAGTTGACTCATTTGGATCTCGCGGCCGATTCTCCGAGCCCCAACCCGTACGTAAATGATCTTACTATTGCAATCGATCTCAACAGCGGTACTGGCATTCCAGCCACAGTCTATACAGTGGCATACGGCACGGCCAACGCTAAAATTCTGGCTCGCTACCAGGAGAATACGGGTTACTATACTCAACAAAACGGTATGTGGTCTGTTGCATTTCTTGAAGCTCCATCCACCACTGACCTTATAAGCGGATAATCTTGCATACTACGCGCTAGCATTATATGTTATGTCAAAGAATGGCAATATCTATCCGCACCTTCCCCTCGTAACGAGTGAGCTTAACGGTCCGCCATGGAAAGATGTCCCGATTGGCACAGTCGCAGAATTCATCACGGGCGGAGACAAAACGTACTTGAACGGCACCGCAGACCAGCTTGCTGCATTGGGCATTGAGATTAGTAGTAGTACTGATGATCAGGACTATCCCGGATGTGTAGATAAGTGGGTTCTCCTCCCTGAATGCTTAGCGATCTGTTCTCTTGGCCATCTCCCTTCTCTTACAGACACACTGACTAACATCTCACCCAATTGTCCCGAGCAGCGAAAACCAGCTCGGTCCCAAGGCTGGAACCGCTTTGACCAT